CAAACTAAATGTTTAGTTTGGAGCTAAATATTCATTTAACAAACAAAATATTTAATTTGCAAACTAAATATTCATTAAACAAAGTAAGATTTTATAAATGAATGAATGACATAGTGAAAAAATGACATGGAAAAAAAATAAAATACTTATTTTTCTCTTAAACACACTAAATAATGATAAATATTCCTTTTCAAACGGTGCCCCATAAATAATTGGGTTTTCCTTGTGCGTTGAAGCTCCGCCCCTCAGATAAATCATAAGGCTGCTCTCCAAACATTTCAGCGGTTGACTCCAGAGAGAAACTGCATCTGAGCAGATATGGAACGCTTCACATTTCCATCATTCACGGCTTCTTTCTAGTCCTGTTAACCCTTTAAATCCCACATTGGAGAACAGAAAGAAACAGAAGTACTTCCTGTGGTACCTGACTGAAGCCCCGCAGACCTCCATGCAGAGCGTTTGGTCCGTTGTTGGTATCCAGCTGGTACTCCTTTCCTTCCACCACAAAGCGTCCTTTGGCGATCCTGTTTGCCACCCGACCCACCACGGCGCCCAGATAGCGTTTATCTGACACGTAGCCTGAGATAACACATAAATAATATCAGCTTTCAGTTCCCTTCCTCTGGCCTCCTTCAGGCAGGGTCGGGTTCTAGGTTCTAGCTCAGAGATCCTTCACAACCCAAACAACCTCAGTGCAGCCGAATAAAACTCAGATTTTAGGAGATTCTGGATAAAAGACATCCTTTCTGATAAATATCTATGAAAGTTTTTGTTTTTAAAGACCCGCAAAATTATTTTTTGGGTTTTAATTCAATTAAATTCAGCTTATTTCTATAGCGTCAATTCACAACATGTCATCTCAAGGCACTTTACAGTTCACCAGATCATCCAGTCAGATCGACTCCAAGTTTTCTGAGGAAAACCAGTTGATTGCATCGACTCATTGACTCAAAGGCAATCCCTCACACTGAGCGTGCTTGTAGCAACAGTGGAGAGGAAAAACTAAACTCCCTTTTAACAGGAAGAAACCTCCAGCAGAACCAGGCTCAGTGTGAGCGGCCATCTGCTGAGGCCGACTGGGTTTCAAGGAGACAGAAGCAGAGATAGAAAAAGAGACATAGATACAAAAGGTAACTGAAAACTAGCTCCACAGGCGGCACCATCCAGGAAACACACAGACTGGAAGAATGTTTTCAAGATGACTTGGATAATAGCGCGTTGTGACAAACACCAGATACAGCACTGGGACTTGATCAACAGGCGATGCCGCACCGTGACGTCACAAACCAGTAGGTGGCAGTAGTGTTCTCTGACAAACATGGATGCCTCCAGTAAAGCACATTCAAATGAAAATTACTCTTAATTAAAAACACTTATCATTTATTGAACAGTATGTTATAATTTCAGATTTAAAGTACTTTCAGAAGTTTGAATTCTGCATATGAGCGGACTTTTCCTTTAAGAACACACACTATCTGATGATGTGCCAAAAGTGCTAAATTGATGATACATATAATATAAATGTATTGACTATATTGTGATGGTAATTACATTACATTACAGGCATTATTATGGCACAACTCTGCAAGAGTGGGGAGTAACAAGATGGCGGCAGGTGGCAGCAGGTTTTTTCGGTCTATCAGCAATCCAGTGAATAAATAGAGATCAGTTGTTCCAAACCATAAATTGTTGAGATGTTGTCGGTGCTGGAAGCAGACGGTATCTAATCCGCTGAAGGTCGATTACTGTTTGGGATTTGGATCCATAGCTGTTCTTCTTCTTGTTGTCATTTTGGATCAACTATCAGGGAAACAAACATTCTTTCGCCTCCTGAAGGTGAGCGATTAGAGCAGATTAACTATCAGCCCAACTGGTTATTATGATCAGCCAAATCATTTCTTATTGTTTCTCCAGAACAGCAGCAGAGAAGCAGGAGGAGTGAAGGTTGGCCTTTAAACTGAACAGGACAAACAGACAACTTTGACAGAGATAAAAACAGCAGAAAGGAACCAATCAATGACCCACAAGGAGCTCAAAGTTTTCCCCTTTGGGTCCAAGGTTCTGGATCATAACATCCTGGGTTCCTATGATAACGAAATGCAGAGGTGGAGGTTCTGGTTCTCAAGGCTTCCCAGCAGAACCCTGCAAAGTATTCTGGCCTCTGCTTGATCCGACCCTCCAATGACGGCTCCACTGACATTATCCCTACCTTCTGGTCTGATAGAGATCAGGCTCTGCCATCATCTGCAGCCCAACAGAACCTAAGAGCCTCTGTAGATTTGGAAATCATTTGTCATGGATCTGACTGTAGAGCTAAAAGGAATGACTGGAGATGATCCACAACATTTGGAGGAAAGATCCAGAACGTTCACTCCGAGGTTGGAGTGTGATGGAGAGAGGATCTGAGAACGTATGAGTTCCACCTCAGAGACTATCACAGAGAAAGACCAAAGGGAGAAAACCAAGCAGAACACCGGCAGAACCAACTCACACCAGGCTGAAGGGCCCAGAAGCCGGGGACAGGCCTATTCAGGATCAAATTTAGACATGAGGGTTAAGAGCAGCTTCTCTGTCTCACCTTCCAGGTTGTCGTAGCCCAGGACCACATCCTCCATCTGCCCATGCTTCCCCCTGCAGCTCAAAGACCTGATGATGGCGCCAAGGGTCAGGACCTCCACTCGCAGCCCGGGGGACTGGAGGACCCACATGTCCACACTGCCGAGGCCCGGGACCTCCCCCCACCGCTGATTGCTGATCTGGACCATCCTTAGCCTGACAGAGAACAGAGACAACTATTTAGAACTGTGATAACTAGAAAACCACTTGGAGGGCGCGGACCTGATTTCCCCCGACATATGGTGATTACCACCTTCAGTTAATGCCTGTATTCACTGAATCTGTCAAAGAATTCCTGGATCCAGATGG